GATTGGTAAAGTAAGAGTGTTGTACCAGTTAGAATCAATGTGGGTCTGTGGTAGGTATTCTTGTTGCCAAGAGCTATTAAAAAGTATTTGGTTAATAGGTTTGTAAGCAGTCCGAACAATACTTGCTATATTGTGCTAAATAAATCAACCAATAAACGTAAATTTAATGTATGACAAATTCACAATCATCGCAATTTTTATTAATCTGATTGGTCGTAAACATCACCAGAATCACAAAACCCGTCCATATGTCACGAAAGGAGAAATAAACGATTTTTTACAATTGACATCTTCGCGATCGTGTTACGTTACATCAAATTGTGATTAATTATTGGCTAGTCTTATGTAGATCGTCACGTGAAAGTGACATTTTGATGGTAGTTCACTAGACAGTAATATGATATGGCGCATTTTGTGGCACATTCAGATAAGCTTTTTGGCTTTATGTTATGTTTCCGGTTTAGGTTCGTGTGGTTATTGCCTTGAAAGATCATCTCCATATGTAAAATTACGTTCATGGCATTTTTTTATTTGCGTACAAAGGCTGGTTTAAACACTAGTTTTTGAGTATTTTCACTTTTTTCACTTTTTTTTCTTGCACACGTGTTTTGTTTTGACGTCGGCTGATCCGGGACAATCAAAATTTACGCATCCCAATTGGTCATTTCTCATGCGCCATATCACGTTACTGCAAAAGTATCTAAACTCCTGGTGGAGTTGAATAAGACATGTAGACAAATCATATGAGTGCGTGAGAATGAAAACCTGTAACTGATCATAGTAAATCATTATAATCAGTTCCAGGTTTTTATTCTCACGCACTCATATGAATACCTTCCCATTACGTAATTTGTCCGTTCATCAAATTAAATGTTGCCAATGAGATTTAGTCAAATAAATATTCTAGGGTATATACGTATGTGTTTGTTTAATCCCCGTAAAAATATTTGACGTTAACTAATAATCAACTTTGAAAGGTCTAAATGTAATATGTTGTTGTGCTATTATCAAATTAATGTCTACTTTTAAATACTGTATTTAGATTCATGTATTAAATAATTATAAATACATAATAAATAGAGTTGGTAAATGGACCAAGTTGACCAATTTTTAACCATTATTAAAATTTTTTTAATTAAAAAAATTTTAATAATAAACTATTTAAATTCATTGTTATTTATTTCTGAGCTATCAGTATCACAAACTATATATATATTTTTATGATATCAAGCTCGAATAACGAAAATGTCACATGCGCGAATTCTAGCTTTATGTATATCAATTCATTTGACTGATAAATATGCAATTCTAAACATGTTAACAGACCTTTATTTGCCATATTCTTCACTATCTTCATCGCGATCTTCACTATCTTCATCACAATCATCACCGTCATCACTATCTTCGTTGCTTAATCCATTCATTTCAGCAATCGCTTTCTCTTCATCAAAATTAATAACAGGTCTTATATTTTCCTCTTTGCCCTCAAAAATTGCATCTGCAACATTTTTATATGCTTCAAGATAACAACGCCATTTATTATATTTATATATAGTACCTCTTAAATCCTTTATTTTTCTTTCCAGATTTTCTTCATCTTGTTGCCAATTAAATCGATCGTTAGCAAGAAATTCAATAATATATGCATCCAACTCGTCATCTTTTGCCATATGAAGCCGCTTGATATGGTATGACACTGTTTTTAGGTTACCATTAATGAAATTTTTTGAGGAAAAGTCATCGTTTTTATTCAAGTCAATCATGCGTTTGACAAGTGGTGACCCTAATATCCGAGAATCAAACAAAATATTCCAGTTGAATTTTTTATCTGTTTTCGACATACTTTCAAAAACTGATTCATTGACAAGAAGGAATCGTATAACTACTTCTGGTGAGAGATACCATTTAGATGAAGGGCGTTCGTCGGGGTGATATGGATACCCATAACCAAGCAACAAAGATGCGACACGGCCAAGTAGTTCACGTTTTAGAATACCGGCGGTCTGTTGATGGCTGAATTCATACTGCATTTTAGCAAGCTGTTGAATAACATCAGTGATACTGCTTGAAATTCCCATAGTCAAACGGCGCCTGTAGACGTAATCGACAGCTTTTGCTTCTTTTTTAGAAAGATTAGTCTTGCTTTCAGGTTCATCGAACGTGTCTGGATTTCTGCCCATATCAGCAAGATTTATAAACAGCTTTACCATATCTTCCTTATCTGGTGGATTTCCTTTCATAAAGTATCTAATCCTATCAGTCATTGTTTCCGACAGAGTTGAAAAAATCGGGGGCTTATCTTCTGCTTCTTCTGCCGAATTAGTCTGCGACTCCTTGTCATTTTTTTTTCTGTTTTGAATCCATTTAAAGTTCTCCATTGTAAGATTATAAAAAGTCTTGTTTTTTGTAGAATCTGCGATTTGTTGTGTCTTATTGCTATTTGACTTATTTTCTTCGGGCGATGGTTTAATGAGATCCGAAACATCCTGTTCAGTAACCACGAACGCCCTTCCATATGCAGAATCCGGATTATCTACCGCCCATTTCATCAGGTAATCCTCGTCTCGATGCACACAGATGCCGCTCAACTGATAACAATGAACAAGTGACGTAGCATGTGTCATAACTAATAAATCAGTGCGTTCGTCTAATGTTTTCTTTAAATGGTGATATGGTTTCTCGAAGAACATTGCATAGATTGCCCATGATATATCATCAATAGGTGATGTTTTAGCTAATTTGGGGTTTTTAAATTTTGATTTTCCCATTGATTCCATAATTTTTGCGATTTGCTTCTCTGTACTTTGCTGGTCTTCCGAATCCTCCTTTTGAAGTGTCCAATATTGCTTAAATTTTGAAACCAAAATACCTTGCATCGGATCTTCATTTTGCGACTGTAATAAAAAAGAAAATTCTGTGTCGCGCATGATATAAATAGTGTATTCTGCATGCAATAATAGGCACATAGCTCCGAAAACAGATACCCATTGATTTCCACCGTGCATTTTGATAAAATTTCCTGTACCACTGCTAATATTCTCTTGTTCATGTTTTTTATATGTGCAGAAGATTTGGCCATAATCTTCGCTAATTTTTTGATCGACTGCAGGGCCAAAACTTATTTGTGTTGCTGTTGATGCTTGTACCTGACGTGAAACGAACTTTTTAACATCAAGTTTTTGTAAACTA